CAGCGTTTGAGTGATCAAGTCAAGCGCTGTTAAAACTATCTCGGCTATCTTTAAGGTTAACATCCCGTTATAGAACATCGCGGCTATCTTCAAGGTTAACATTAGGTTTACCCACCTAGGTCGACCTCCCTCTTGATATCTATCAGATTCAACATTGATCGGAAGTGCTCGAACTTCGATCTGGATAGAGCTTTCGTTAAGCCGTCTGCTGGCATCTGATCAGTCTTTAAGTACTCGACTAGGAACCTGCCTTTTCTGAATTCTTGTTTGAGCCACATGTTTTGTATATCAACATGCCGGAGCTTTGTTGTTATTCGTTGGTTTTCTTCCACCACAAGTCGGATCGACTGAAGATTATCGCAGTATATCTTCAGAGGCCCAAGATCAAGGGAGATATCCCGGAGCAGCCGGTCCAGGGCATAACTCTCTTTGGTTGTTCTCTCGAGACTTAGGAGTTCTGCTTCTGTTGTCGAGGTCGTAACTGTGTCTTGGAGTCCAGCCTTCCAAACAACCGGTCCGTTGAATAGCAGCATCACGTATCCCTGTGACGAGCGCCGAGTCTCAACATCGTCTGCAAATGATGCGTCGCTTGCAATCACAAGAGCCTCTCCTGGGTGCATGCCATCATAGACGATCGCCAAGAACTTCGTTGTATAGAGGTAACGGATGCATTGGTCGGCTGCAGCACGGTGTTCAGGTGATGGATTTGCCAGGAACCTTGCAAGCTGAGCTGCTGCTCGTGCTACATCCGGCCTGGTTATGACTGCGATATACATCAAGGAGCCCACGCGTTCTTGAAAGTCCTTTATCTCTTCCTTACTGGCCTGTCCGTCATACTTGACTAGTGGGATCGTCGGGATCGGTATTGATGGCACTCGGAGCTTTGAGTCGGTCAGCTTGAACTTGCGCGCGGGAGCCTTGAGTCAGTCAGCTTGAATTTGCGCGCAATTTTCTCGATGTAGGCATCCTGGCAGAGATAGATTTTCCGGTTTGGTCGATCCCGGATGACTCTAATTCCAAGATACCATTTGAACTTGTCCTCGCGCATTTCGTACTTGGATTGGAGCTGTTTGACGAGATCGTTGACTGCCAGTTTCTCTTGCCTCGGGCTGAGTATCAGAATATCATCGACATAGACGAGCACGAGGACCTTGCCATTGGTGAAGACGCATGGTTCTTCATCCGTACGGTCGATTCCTGCCTCATTGAGCGCTTGGGCGAGCTCGTTATACCAGAGGAGTGGCGACTCGCGAAGGCCATACAACGCCTTGTCGAGTTCTGCAATCATTTTTGAGTCTTCTCCCGGGTTCAGGAAGCCGAGTTCTACATAGCCCCTCGGGAGCTGTACGTAGATCGGA